CTACGCAAGCCGTGGAGAATTTCGCGCGACTCTACACGGCACTGCGCCACGACGACGCTAGGCCTCTCTGTCGTTACTGCGGCAGAAGCTACTCGTCGCCGAGCAACCTCCGGCAACACGTGAAAAATGTCCACTCGAATTGGCCGCCGCCGGATACGTGGCCGCAGTGCAACGTGTGCGGGAAACGATGCAAGACGAAGCATTACTTGATCAATCATCAGCTACAGGCACACGGGATCCACCAACGGCCAAGCTTGAACAATCCTAATCAACAGCAGCAACATCAGTCACCCTCTTCGTCCTCCTCGTTGCCATGAGTACGGTCGTCCTCTTCGTCCGCCATCGTTGCCCCGTTCTCGCTCAACAGTACTACCCACAAACAACGATCAGCAACCAGATGAAGCCGGTGGTGGTCGGTGGTGGTGGTGGTGGTGGTGATGGTGGTTGTTGTTGTTGTTGCTGCTGCTGCTGATGCTGCTGCTGTACGATGACAATTCGTCGACACAAGCGAGATTATTTAGTACAAAAAAATCCAACAGCGATGTTCGCTTATAGAATTCTGACGAGGTCTCGCTGCTGTTATCAATAGGTACAGATCAACCAGAGAGAGGTCGGTTCGATTCGATTCGTACAGATTATCGGAATGTTATTTTTACGGGGAGGTGAGAGAGATCCAGGTTGCGGCCTGGTTCTCTTGCATTTATACCTTCGTCGTGTCACGTTCAGTTCGAGGTGTGGCCGCCTGTGTCGGCGAGGTCACGTTCAGATTCCTATTTTCTATAGCGTTTAAAAAAAAAAAACTCGATGGCAGACGAGCTGACGGTAAAAAAAATAAGAAAAAAAAAGAGAAAAAATTACTTCGAAGATTCTAGAGTGTAATTATATAAGACACGCTTAACGTTCCACCGATTCTCGGTATTAGAATGGTACGAGAAGAATGATAATTAAAAAAAGAAGATTCTGTTAGACGAAGAGAATTTGAAGCAAAAGACGCATGGCACAACCATTTCAAGAACGAACGATCGAAATTGTATTTTGTGAGTAATGATAACGAACGCTTACACACCTCCGCCACCTTCGAGCCAAAAAATAAGAAAAAACATGTGTCTAATTTTTAATCTAGTTTACTATAATATATCAAGGGGGAAGCGTGTGTTGTACAGCCACCCCACAAGTACGAAACACAGATAGATAGACAGACAGAGCGAGAGAGAGAGAGAGGGAAGCGAGAACGGTTTTCGTAATAATCTGGCACGTGAGATTCTACTCGGACACGTTCAAGCATCTCTCCGTTCAGTATTCGATTTACGCGATGATTGCGCGAATTCCGTGCAGTCCCCTGTCTGCCAATTGCGCGCGATATCGAGCAGAGAGAGAGCAATTAACGATCCGTTAGATAGTATACCAGTAAACCGGTAACCATTTGCGGGGAGAATGGTAACCTCCCTGGATATTCTAGGGAGGGATCAACAAAGGGATAGGCAGAGAGAGAGAGAGTGAGAGAGAGAATGAGAGATAGACAACACAGGGAGGGTTTGATAGGCATATATTCGCGGCCGCTTTTGGTACTCTCTGTTTTTATTAGGGGTTGGGTTTTGGGGTTTATATGGTGGTGGTGGCTGGTGGTAACGTTGGTGTGGTGGTGGTTGCAGATCACGGGCTCGATGAGGCAGAGGGCGCGGCTTACCACCACCACCACAGCCATCACCAGCAACATCATCGGCATCGTCATCATCATCCACTATCCGTTCCTCCTCCTCACCATCACCATCATCAGGCGCTACAGGAAGACGAGCAACAACAGCAAGAACAGGGCCAACAGGCGACCACCACGTCAACGACAACCAGTACAACCAGCAACAGCAGCGGCGGCGGCAGCAAGTATCATCAACGGAGCCCGGCTGACTACAGGCAGCAGAAGTTGATACGCGATCATCATCAACAGCACGGTTACAGGTGTCCCCTTTGTTGTAGGACATTGCAGGATATCAGCACAATGAGGGCTCACTTGGAGCATCATTATCCGCGTGATTCGCCTACATGTCCGGTCGCCTCTTGCGCCAAGACCTTTTCTCACCCGAACAGCGTCAGGAATCATATGCGTTTGAAGCATCCGGTGCAATGGGATCAGATAAAGACGCTCAGATGGACTTACGTCTGATAAAGAGGCAAATTGATCAAACCTAGACATTTTTTTGCCTCGATTCTCGAGAGAAAAAAAAAACAAAAAAAAATTGCTTCATTTCTCTTTTTCTTTTAATTGTTTTGTCTTTCTTTCTATTTTTTGAATTTCGCGGTATTTTCGTCGCGTAGCGATCGGGGATTGTTTCGATTTAAAATCGTCGCGTTTTCTTTGTTTTCGCCGCCCCCCTCTCACACCCCCCTTTCTCTCTCGTCTATCGATTGCACACACGTGATTATACTCGACGTATATTCGTTATTCCTGGACAGACGTGCATACAGTTGGCGAAGGAGGGTGCGTTTTGATGAAAAGGTCTCGCGTGCCAGAGTCTATAAACGTATGTCGAAGGGTTGTTTACGCGATATATTATAGAACTGGTTGAATATGTAAGTATATCCCATCGTGACTGAAGCGGCAGAGGGTGTGGAGGAGAACGAGGAGGGGAGGTGGGTTTTGAGAACGATTTTCGCACGAGAATGTCACGTTTTTCCAATGCTTTAGTATTCTCGAGACGTCGCACAAGCACCCGCCTCCCTTCCCGACAATTAATGCCCACTGGAGAAGCGCACACTTTGTAAATATTCGGAAGATTATATATACATATATATACATATATATGTATATATATGTATATATGTAGTCTATATGTATGGAGTTACGCTAGCAGGTATACTTCTCGACTCGAAAGCAAGCTATGCCAGGTAAAACCTGTCCGCTTGGTTGCCTTTTTCCCTTTTGTTACGAAGCAGTATTTCTAGTAGAGCCTGAGATAAAAATGAAAATGAAAAAAAAGCAGAAAAATATAAACGTAGTCAAAACCAATAGAGTGAATCGTGTAATTAATTAAGAAGAGAGAAAGAAACGGTCGACGCGTTCATTATAAAAGACTCTACGACGATGATATAATAGAAGTCGGTTAGGTTAACGTATCTTAAACAAGAGAAAACAATGTTCCTCTAAAGCTGAGTAAGCCAGCCTTACGTTAACAAGCGTAGTTTTTAAGGGAAAAAAAAAAAGAATGCGTAGAAATTGTCAAGTCGAGAGACACACACGAAATCTTTTTTTAGAAGAGATACGAGGCGCGCGGTGGAACGTAGTCCAATTTATATTGTAGTAGCGACAGAAGGAAGAATGGACACGGTGATGAAAAAGAAAAAAGAAAAAAACAGAGAGAGAGAGAGAGAGAGAGAGAAAATAGTTGGACAATGACGGGAATATTAGTGTATCCGGTTATCGAGACTAACTTTGCGATGCTTCCGTAATCGTTATCCGAACGTAAACGCGACGCAATACATATATTTACACGTAACGACTCACACACACAGACGTAGAGAAAATATATTATAAAAGAAAAAAAAACAAACGTAATATACGCGCGAGCGAATGTTAAGAAAAGAAAAAAAAAATAAAACGATCGACAAGCACACCGTTGAATAAGTCGATTCGGAAACAGCGCCTAGCCTTATTTTTCTACAGTCTTCTGTTTTATTCGTCAGTATTCCCTAGGTAAAGAATATTCCCCGAGACAGGTTAAGTTCTTTTTCGACACACGATGTACGATAGTTACTAGAGATACGCTGCGACTAAATACGAGGAAATATATGAATATAAATATAAATAAAGAAAAATGAAAAAATAATTCCTATCCGAATACGACGATTAATACTAGTCTCGAACGTTTATCACTATTCTTCTAACTTCTCCTCTCACGTGTCTTAATTTTCATTCACACACATACGCATATATACACAGATAGAAAGCGAGCACGCGAAAAACAAAGATAATAAAAAATCGCTTTCACAAGCGACAGCTCGTGCCACGGACAATGTATAGAGCATCATACGCACTATTTTAGCAGATACTAGCGTACATAAGATTCTACATAAGACACACGAAATGAAGTATATACTATTTAAGTAATGCTTTGTACAATAAAAAGGTATTCAAAGAAGCTGTCAGTGGCTCGTCAATCTTTGTTCCATGGATACTCAAATTCTCACGCACCTTTATCGAAACAACAGCAAAGAAGCAAGAGATACTCGTTCATCCTAATCGACGTTCACGAGAGAAAAATACTCACTTCTTTTTTTTCTTTCTTTCCTTTAAGTTCTAACTTTTCATTTCTATCACACCTTTCTTTCTTTTAACCGAAGCTGAAAAAAGACCATTTTTCATCTTCTGTAAACTAAATCTCTCCGAGCAGAGTTCTCCAAGGCGAGACAGACGTAAAAAAAAAATCATCTCGGGAAAAAAAAGAAAAAATACATACCCAAGGGAAATCGTACTGTACCTTCATCAGCCTTTTGTTTCTCTTCTTTTTTCAGTAGCCCGTCGCGGTCTGGACATGATGCGGGTACGCGCCACGGATCCACGGCCCTGCCCGAAATGCGGCAAGATCTATCGATCCGCCCACACGTTGCGCACCCATCTAGAGGACAAGCACACGATCTGTCCAGGCTATCGTTGCGTGTTGTGCGGCACTGTGGCCAAGTCGAGGAACTCATTGCACTCTCACATGTCGCGACAACATCGCGGGATCAGCACCAAGGATCTACCAGTGCTACCGATGCCTAGCCCCTTCGATCCAGAACTGGCGTCCCGCCTCTTGGCCAAAGCAGGTGTCAAGGTGAGTCCAGCGGAATTACGAGCTCGTGCGAGTCCAACGGGACCGAGAAGAGGCGACATGAGACTGGAGATCCCTCGCGGTGGTGCACCGTCCGAAGCAGGCAGCAGCGTATGCGGCGGAGACGATCCGGAGGACCTCACGCTACCGCTGAGCCTCAGGTATGGATCACCGACGCCCAACAATAACACCGTGATCACCAAAGTGAGCGGCAGTAACAGCAGTAGTGGTAACAAGAACTCGACGGCTACCGCGATAGCGGCCAAGTCTTTGGACACGATGCACGGCAGCCGTGAGCCGAACACAGCGCCGCTTCATCCACCCGGCAATCTTCATCCCGGTCATCATAACGCCAGCGCGACAGGATCAGCGATTCTCGACACGTATCTGCAATTTATCGCGGAGAATTCCGGCCTGGCGACGATGGGACTTAGCCCCGAACAGGCTGCAGCCGTGGCGGCTGCACACGCCGCCAAAATGGCACACATGAGCGCCATGGACAAGTTGGGCGGTCGCGGGCTCGAAGATTACCCAATGATCGGAAGGGACGAGGGTCGAGGACCTGGTGTGGTGCACGAGGATCGTCAGGACATGTTGCAGGACAGCAGGCATGTCGGACTGTTGGACGAGGGGGAGTCGTCTGGTGGCGAGGAGGACGATTTCAGCGAGAACGAGGAGCCGGAGATCGTGAAAGCTGAATAAGTTCGCCACGCCGGACGTAGGGAGAGAGAAAGAAACAAACCCCAAGAGTTCGTGACACACACGTGACCCGATTTTAGGAAGTGCTTATTGAGACGTGCCAACGGATCGAGCTATCGATGTATATCGATCTTAGTGCACGCGCAACGTTCGCAGTCAAATCCATCCACTACCTCAAGTAGAGACTTTTTAAACACTCCTGTTTTCTTTTTTTTTCGTTTCGAGAGATAGATATTTCCAAAGAGAGAAAGTAAGAAGAAAAGAAGAGGGAGAGAGACGAGAACGAACGAAATCATCGTACATTGATCACACACTGTTACGACGCCGATTTCTTCGAATCGGTTTTGGAGAAACGAATCCCTCCTCCCTTCGCTCGTGAAACAAAACGGAGTTTTCGTTGTCCTCTCCTGCAGCGTCGTCGTGTCGAGCATACATACACACACACACACGGATACACAAATATAAAACGCACGTATACACGGTTTTTAACCTGCCCCATACAACACACACACACAGACAAAAACACATCCCCCTTCTCAAAACCCCGTTTAAAATATTCCATCTGTCTACCTCAGTGAACACACGATAAACGATAAGTGATAGGACAGACCAAGACGAATCTCATGGATGAAGAGAAACTTTATTGGAAAAAAGAGAGAAGATAAAGAAGAAGAGCAAAAAAAGGAAGATACGATCCGGAGATAAAAAGAGAGACGTGTATCGCCATGGCTACTTACGATTTTCGTCGCGTTACGATGAAAAACAAAATGGCGTCGTTCGACGGTTCGGAAAAGTTTAAAAAAAATATCTCGACTATTTCTACAGATCGAAGCGAAACATTTTCTTCGATCGCAGTTTCGGAAACAGAGAGGAGAGGGAGAGAAAGAAATTAGAGAACCGAGAAGAGAGATAGAGAGCCAGGTGACGCCCACGGCAACTGTTTAATTCTTTTTATTTTCTAAAGGTTTAAAAGAAAGAATAATAATAAAAAAGAAAAAAATAATGAACGA